ATACTACGGAAAACATCAATGTTGGATGGGGCTCGAAGGCGACTGTTATGTGTGAAGTATGTTATGGAAAAAATGAGCGTGTACAGAAAGTAAACACATCAGTACTATCAGCCGCTGACAAGCATGCTAACAAAGAGAACCACTGGCGACGCGCAGCGGGCAGGTCTGCGCGATCATGCGTTTTTGCAGTATTTCGTGCTATAACGAAATCACCCGGAAACCTAGTAGCTAGGACTTGTGACATGCTAGTCCTCGAAGTTTGGGATGTTAATTGTTTATGCGGTAGTTGGACAGGGAACATTCCGCTAAAATTTCAGCTTTCCAGCTTCTCCGTTCTAGAGTTAGCAATTTTCCTATCAAGAAATTCCATGGGTCCGTACATGAGAACCACACGCATCTGGGAGCTGCACTTGATATCTCTAACTTTTACGGGGGCTGGGGGATATACCCTGAAAATTTCATCCTCCCAACTTTCTGGTTCCCGAGCCAGCCATTTTCCCGTCAAAAAATTTCATGGGGTCGTACGAGATAACCTGGTATGCCTGGGGGCTGAATTCGATAATTTTAGATTGTGCATGTGCAAAGAACATTCCCTGAAAATTTCAGACTCCTGGTTTTCGTGGTTCCCGAGTTAGCGATTTTGCCGCCAAAACCTTCACCCTCTCGTACGCGGGGCTCAAAAGTGCGTGATGGCTGGTACTGCGGTCCTGGAGTGGCACTTGGCCGGGGAACTCTCTAGCAAAATTTTGGCGTCGAAGCTTGCTTGGGTGCCGAGTTGAAATACTTGGAGACACACACACACACACACACACACATACACACATACACACACACCGGGGTCGCCGCAAAATGCGTTTTCGCATTTGCATATATGTAGAAACGCATAAAAACTGCCGTCTGTTCTGAAATGTAAATTTTGCTTTAACTTTTAATGATATGTGCTGTCTTCGGTGAATTTAAGCCTTCACAGTTCTGCCGCAAACCGAAACAAAGTTCGTACTAAACCATCTAACAAAAAAAAAAATGGAATCTTACAGGCTGCATGAACGAGCTGCCCGGAGCGGGGTTGGCGCCTCCTCCGGCCGCTGCCAGAGCTGCAAAATTCTGACTCCACATCAACGCAAACAGTGGATTTGAATCAGCAGAGACCAGCGGGCACAGTGCTTCGGTCTGCAAAATAAAATCCTCAAACAGTTTTTCTTACTCACAGAATAACTGATCTACTAAGAATGAAAAAGCACTGACTGGTACGATGTACACTGAAATATAAATTGACAAAACGCGTTTTTTTTTTCGCAAGCAGGAAAAGTCTGAGGAACCCCGGCGAATAAGCAGGAAAAGTCTGAGGATGTAGAAAACACTCATGTGAGCCTTGCAATCCAAAATGCG